TGGGCCACCCCACGCCACCCCACGCCACCCCACGCCACGCCAGGGCGCAGTGCGGTGCAGCCGTCACCTACCCGGAGCCGCCATGCCCGCAGCACGACAGAGACCATGAAGAGCTGCAGCGTCAGCATCCCAAGCGGGAGCAGCTCAGCCGGGGTGGGGTTCTTGGCTCGCCCCATGGCACCGGCTGCGGTGCGTGCAGCCTGCCCAGACGATGCCAGGCTGCGGTGCCGGCTCCCGCGGGGCCCCCGTCCCCCCTTTATAGTGCGGCAGGGAGCGCCCCCCTTTGTGACACCATGGGGCAGTCAGAGCCCCCCTCTGTGACACCATGGGGCAGTCAGAGCCCCCCTCTGTGACACCCGGGTGCCTCCTGTGCCCTTCCCCGGCTGGTAGGGGCAAATGTGAGGGGCTCAGGAGGGGCTGGGACACCCCCCTGGCAATCAGGGGTGGGAGCTGATGGAAGCCCAGGGTCTGCAAGGTGGGGGACCCTGGGGAGATTTCAGAGGGGGGGGGAGAAAGAGGAGGAGGAGGGGAAGGATTCAGAGGAGGAGGATTGGAGGATTCAGAGGAGGATTCAGAGGAGGAGGAGGAAGAGGAGAAGCCAGGGCCCAACCGGCAGCTATGTTGGAAACCACCCCCCCTGGTTTAGGCTCCTTGTCCCACCTGCCCCAGGCTTCTAGTCCTTGGGCTAATGAGTCCAATCAGTGAGTGTAGGTGTGTGAAATATTTAACAAGCCCAGGAGGATCGGGGGCCAGTACTCCACTAATTACCCCACTCAGAGTCAGGCTGGGACCCCAAGGCCGTCACGTGAGCTCTCTATAGGTATCTGAAATGTTATGGGCATGCAATCGATGTCACATAGGAACCCGTCGGTGCGGCTTGGCAGCCTCCTCTGCCAGCTCCCTCAGCACTCTTGGGTGGATCCCAGCCGGCCCCATAGACTTGTGGATGTCCAGGGGGCACAGCAGGTCAAAGAGTGCTTCCTCCTGGATTACGGGGTGTTTATTCTGTGGAACAAGTATGGAGTCTGCAGGTTTGGCGGCTGAGCTGGACACCGGAGATATCCTTGGCCTTGTTGGCCGCAAGCCATGGGAAAACTGAACAAGACCTAAGTGAAAAACAAAGTCAATGCTGCGACCAATGGACCTTGCAAGATGAACTTTTTTCCATATAAGGCTTGGCCTCAGTGCTTGCCAGCTGGCTAGGTGGTAAGAGAAAAGTAGAGGCTTTGTTTTGGGATGAGTATAAAAAGGATGAAAAGCATTAAATAAAGTGATCCCGATGCTGCTTGCACTTGTGCATGAACTTGGGCTCCGTGCCTTCATTGCCACAAATGGTGCCCCCCATGGGGTGTGAAAACTCAACCTCCGAAGGTCTGTGTGGTGGCAAGCCCCACGGAACTTAATGCTGCTGAAAGGAAGCAGGAGCTGGCCTCAATCGTCTCTGGAGACGAGGTGAGCTGTGGGGAACGATGGGCAGTTATATGTCCTCAGATGAAAAATCAGTGCTTGAACTTATGGAGGGACTTTTGCGGAAGCATAATATTGCTATGAGCCCTCAGACACTGAAGAGACTGCTGAACTGGGATTCCGTCAACTGTAAGGGGGTCACTGTGATTAATATTTTTAGTGCCCAGGTTTGGGATGAGGCCGGGGTCGTACTGTGGGGCAGGGCAACAAAGGCAGATAAGGTCGCTGCTGAGCTGTTAACCCCTTGGCAGCAAATATTAGAGATGATGCACAAGCAAGAAGCTGCCCAGGAAACAGCAGGCGCGACCTCGGGCAATACTGGCTTGCTGCGCCCACCTATGATGCCCCCTGCACCCACTGCCCCTGGCACGGATGCTTGCTCCCCTCGCCTACCTCAAAGCCAGCAAGCAGCGGGGAGAACCTTCAAACTCACTCTGTCACTAATGATGAGCTGGCTGGCTCTTTTGATCCCGGAACAGTTGACCCCAAGAAGGAGCTGGATCTGTTTCCCCCCGACCCTCATGATAATTGGCAGAGGGTCTGCAGGGATGCCTTAGCGGCTGGGGAACACGAGATGGCAGCCCGAATTGTTGCGCCAGTTATTTATGATCCCCAGCAGCCACCAAGGTGGGAAGGACTTAATTTCTCGGTAATTAAAGAACTCCGGAGGGGTGTTATTGACTTTGGGCTCACCTCCTCTTATACCAAGAACATGCTGGGATCTATTATGAAATCCTCTATGCTGGTACCCCATGACTGTAAAACTCTAGCCCAGCTTATTCTTACCCCCACACAATGTACACTGTGGGAAGCCTCTTAGAGGCAGTCGCTGGAGAAAAAGCGATTGGATTACATCCAATGCCCTGCGGGAGATCCAGCGGCTGGAATGACGCTTGACCACTTACTGGGTTTGGGGCACTTCCAACCCCCTCATCATCAGGCTTGTGATATCCCACTTACCGTCTTAGATGATGTCAAGAATCTGGCTTTTCAGGCTTTTATGATGGTTCCTGATGCTGGTAAACCGCAAAAATCCTTTACACAAGTCAAGCAGGAAACCAAGGAGCTCTATGTGGCATTTATTGACAGACTCCGTGAGCGCCTGAATGAGCAGATCTCTCATGAAGAGGCCCACGAGATTATTTTGTTGAAATTAGCAATTGGGAATGCGAATACTGACTGTCAGCATGTTCTACGCACTTCAGACAATCCTACTCTTGTAAAAATGGTAGAGGCTTGCACTAGAATCGGATCTGTTGAACATAAATATGAAACTATGATGGCCGCTTTTGCAGCAATGAGGCTCGGACCTCAAATGTGCTTTAGGTGCGGACAGCCCGGCCACATTACGAAACATTGTCATAACTTGGTAAAGCCGAAACTGCTTGATGTCTGTCCCCGATGTAAGAAGGGGCGGCATTTTGCGAGTCAGGGTTGCTCTAAATTTGATAAAGTCGGGAAGCCGCTGCCGGGAAACCGTCAGCAGAGCACACTCCAGAACCACGCCGGGACACAAGTAGCTCTGCCACCACCACCGACCCTGGTAAACTCCTTGGTATGTCTGGTTCCTACCGGGGGGGTTGGACTAGATGATCTCCTGAGGTCCCTTCCAACCCTTACGATTCTGTGATTCTGTGTGATTCTGTGTGAGTCATTGATTCAGACGATACAGGTGAAATCAAAATCATGGCATGGACACCTGCTCCCCCTTGTGCCATAACGCGTGGCTCTCGGGTTGCACAGCTCCTTCTCTTTGATGCATGCCCTTCGCAGGTCGTCCAGACGCCTGGGGGAAATCAAGGTCTTGGATCCACAGGATCGCCACAGATTTTGTGGTCACAAGTTGTGGGCCCTGATCGACCATCAATGCAGGGTAAGGCATCAATATCTCTGGTATTTTAGATACTGGTGCAGATGTTACAGTTATTTCACAGGGTAAATGGCCTGCAGGATGGCCCTTGATACGACTGGGCAAGGCCCTGATGGGTGTTGGGGGAAATGCATTACCACTGCAGAGCCAACACATGATTCAAATTCAAGGACCTGACGGTCATGTTGCTTCAATTCGCCCTTTTGTGCTGGCTACCCCAATTACATTGTGGGGCCGTGACTGCATGAGCCAATGGGGAATCCAACTCGAGTCACATTTGTCCTGAGGGCCACTGTGGCGCAAGCTACCCTGCAACTTACGTGGAAAACGCAGGATACTGTTTGGGTGGAACAGTGGCCCTTATCCCAGGACAAACTGCGCCATTTAAAGATATTAGTTGAAGAGCAGTTGCATGAAGGACATATTGTTCAAACCACAAGCCCATGGAATTCACCAGTATTTGTACTCAGAAAAAGAGTGGAAAATGGTGCCTTTTGCACGATTTACGAAAAATAAATGCTGTAATAGAGGACATGGGCTCCCTACAACCCGGCATGCCATCCCCTACTATGAGTGATGGGTGGTGGGTAAGAATCTGGGAGAGGGCCAACAGGGCAGAGCTCGTGGTGGGAGACTGTTCTAGGCGGCCCAAGCAGGATGAAGAGGCGGGCGAGAAGTCTCCCGACCGCTAGCCCTTGTTCTCGTGGGGGACACTTCAACTTCCCAGACGTCTGCTGGAAATGTGATCCAGCGTGGAGGAAACGGTCTTGGAGATTCCAGGAGTGTGTGGAAGAGACCTTCCTGACGCAGGCGGGGAGGGAGCCAGCTCGGGATCACGTGAGTCAACATCTTGGGCAACAAAATATGGAATTTCTTCCACGGAGCGGGAGGAAATTGTGAGCAGCACACAGCAGTCTCCTGGGCAGCACGCCACTCCGGGTTTTTAAATGCAGCCTCTCAGGTAATGTCATAAAAATAAATAAACAAATGGGCTCTGGCTCTAGAAATCATACAGGAAATATTGTTTAATAACTCACTGCTTGTATTCACCTTCTCTTGCTGTATCCCCGCTGTGTTTACACTGCTTTGATGTGCAAGGCAGCTGTAGCATTTCACAAAGCGGGAGCCGGCTCGGGAAGGCGCCTGCTGGACCTGTTGTTTGCCAACAGAGAAGGGCTGCTGGGTGACGTGATGGTTGGAGGCCGTGTTGGGCACAGCCACCATGGAATGCTGGAGTTTTTGATTCTGGGCGAAGTCAGGAGAGGGGTCAGCAGAAGGGCTCCCTTGGACTGCCCGAGGGCAGGCTTGGGCCAGTTCAGGAGCCTGATCTCCAGAGTCCCCTGGGAGGCCATCCTGAAGGGCGAAGGAGTCCAGGAAGGCTTCAAGAAGACAATCTTCAATGCGCAGGAGCGGGCCGTCCCCATGTGCCAAAAGATGAGCCGGCAGGGAAGAAGAGCGGCCTGGCTGAACAGAGAGCTTTGGCTGCAAGTCAGGACAAAACAGGGAGTTTATGATCTCTGGAAGAAGGGGCAGGGAACTGAGGGCACCCACAAGGCTGTCGTGAGGTTCTGCAGGGAGAAAATTCGAAGGGCCAAACCGTGAGGCAAAGCTCATGGTCTGGACGGGCGTACGCTTTGCTGGGTCAAGAACTGTCGGGATGGCCGGGCCCAGAGAGCTGAGGGGAACGGAGTTAAATGCAGGCATTGGCCGGTCACAAGTGGTGTTGCCCCAGCCCCCTGGGCTGAGGATCCCCTCCCTTGGCCTGCTGGCCACGCTCCTCCGGAGGGGGCCCAGGGCACCCTTGGCCTCCTCTGCTTGTGTTGTCCCTCCCCAGGGGCAGGACTTTGCACCCGTGGAGCTCCGGGAGGTTCCTGCTGGCCCATTTCCCCAGCCCAGCCAGGCCCCTCTGGACACCAGCACACCCACCGGGGTACCAGCCACCCCCACCCCCCAGTGCTGTGGGCGCCAGCGGTGCCCGGTGCCAGCCCGTCCTCGCTGGGGTTGGGCACCAAGGGGGTCACACCCCCAGCCACGGGATGGGTGCATGAAGGAGGGCACCATGGGCAGAGAAAATATTTATTTCAGATTCCCGTCCTCGAAGGCCCCAGCCCCCCAGGACGAGGGGAACCCCTTGCTCCCGTGGGACCAGCGCTGCCACCACGGGGGCTTGCAGAAGCGGAGGCGCTGGGGCCGGCAGTGGCGTCTCCAGCAGCCCTTGAGGGAGCGCCCGAGCCGGGGGGCGGC